TATAGTATATAGTATATCGTACAAAGATGTATAAAGTAAACCGGTTTCGTGAGAAGTCTGGACAGTTTGACAGAGCATGGGTGGACTAGTAGTGGTAGTTTCATAGCAAAATGATTCAATAGCAGCCAGCTTTCAACAAAGATTGCAACAAAGGCAAAAAGTGTAGAGATGTCTCGCGAGGGTCGAGAACTTGAAACCCTGTTCTTAAAGTCTTAAAGTCTTAACATAGACACACCCACAGCCCAAGGCGCGCTTGTCAAAATATCAGCTGGAGGGAGCCATTCCACCCAAGGAATGTGATTAGGCTTTGCAACAAAGCAGTTTCTGTTCAGTAGAGACACTGCATCAGGCGGCTCCTTGTCGGCAGTCAACGGCTGGAATTCATGGGCAGGGTTCGGGGGCTGGCCCAAACATGTAGCGCCCTTCAAAAACGATGACACCTGTCCAACAACTTCTTCACGTCTTTTGTTCACTTCTGCAAAAGTTCGCTTCACTAAAGTACTCACCTTCTGCAATTGGTCGATCAAGCGCTGGGCAGGATGAAACGGCTGCAGCTCTGAGTCAAAAGAATCTTGCACAGCAACAACAGCATGCCTTTCGCGGTCATCCCCAACAATGGGCTGCGAAGGCCCTTCTTTCGATGTATTGCCACCATTGTCAACTTCCAGCACCAAAGCAGCAGAGTCTTGACAGCCAGCACCGGTAGCGGTAGAGGAGATTGGTGTGTCTTGAACAGCTCGAACAGGTGTTTCCTCCCTCTTCCGTTTTCTGGTTCCAAAAGCCTTGAAGCCAAGCCTGTGGCTTGTAGTAGCAAAGTGGCCAGCGCTCTTGTATACAGCACGATCCTCGTCGCTCAAAGCATTGTAGGCAGCCGCGAGTCGCTTCACAAACTGTCGGCTCAACTTCATACCCCTTGACATAGCCGACACATAGGCCCGCCAGGCTCCCCCTCCACCTCTTTTCTTTTTTTTTGACAGTCTTCAGGCGTGTCTTGTGGAAGGTCGACAACTTCCTTCGAGATTCTCGTGAATCAAAGTAGTTGTAGGTCAAGAGGCTGGCTTTGTTCTGGCAAGCACGTCTCAGCAACCAATCCGCATTCAAAGTCTTCAAAGTGGCAGCTTTTGCCAAAGAACGGGATTGAATCACCTTTCTGCTGAGCGTATGTTGCCGTTCAATGGCCCCAATGTCTGTGTCTGCAAGGACAGCTATGGTCTCCAAAACTGCCACGCATTCGGGTGAGCAAAAGGCCTCTACAGTGCTGTAGGTTTTGCAAAGTGCTTGAGCGACCTCGTCTTGGACACAGCGCGGGTCATTGAAAACGTTGCAAGCCTGGTCTTTGCTTTGCAGAGCTGAAAACAGTCTATATGGATACTTTCCATGTCGCCAATGCAGAAGTTGGTAAGTGCTGCAAGCAAGTCTCGAAAGCATGCAAAAGCACAGGACTCCAATATCTGCTCGCAGATCTGCAATCCCCAATGCTTTCGGAGGTGATTTCATCAAGGCCAACACATCGACAATCAAGCGAGTGGTCTGTCGTCGCACCCAAGCAATGAGTACCCGGAATTCTTGCTGCAATCCATCACACGACTTTTGGTACTGAACCTTTGAAAACTTTTGGCTGCCAAGGTAGAGCAAATGTGTCATCAGCAACAAAATCGGAGTGAGGAATTGCCTCATCAAAGCCAGCAATGCCTGGGGGCTTGGTGAAGAACTTGCCCGCCAACCACACACCCACTCCCCCACTGATGTTTTCAATCTCTCCTGGTAGGCATGCCAATCGAAAGCAGCTCCAACTTCGTCACTTGGGCCATCTTGTGGAGGCAACTCCATTGGCTGTGGCTGGGACTGTAGATCTGGCGCTGAACTTTCCTCTACTTGTTGATCGTTTTTGCTTTCACGCTTTGGCCTTGGCTTTTGCCCAGCAGCAAGCGCCTGGACAGGTGCAAAGGCGTCCCAACCAAGGTCATCATCATCGCTTGCCTCGCTTGCTGGCAGGATGGCATCGGATGAGGGCAACTGGCGGCCACTCCAAGCTGCGATCAAGGGCTCAAAGAGATTGTGGCAACATGACAGCAACCCCACAAAGTCCAGGCTTGCATCTGCTCCAAACCACCTGGATCTTGGAAAGATAGGGCGCGCACAGGGCAGCAAGGCAGGCACGACAAAGTGCAGGAACAATTCCAAAGCCTCGTCTTCGTTCCTATACTGACCTGACTTTGCCCAGTGGATGATCTTGGAGTGGTCTCGCAAATCATCATTCAACCAGAACTCCAAAATTGAGCGTTGTCGAAGCTTCTGCCCATACTGCAACCTTTGTCTGGAAGATGTTGATTGCGTGACCTCCATGGAAAAGGTATCAGGAACTGAGCAAAACAGATCCAAGACCTCTGACTTGTAGGCCAAGGCGTCAGCGTTGTATGGAGGTTCGCCAATTTTCAATTGAAACTTCGATGTCAGAATGTCTGAGAGAAGCGACTGCATCTTTCCTAGGCTTCCAGCTGGACACATCGAGAGGGCAAAGTTGATGACTGCTGAAATCGCTGGGCCTGTGAGGTCGAATACTCGGCCCTGGCAAGTGGATCCCTTATGCACATCACACAAAAAGTTCATCCTCATCCACCCCCTCCTCTTCTGCTGGAGCGCCCACTCAGCGACATCATTCGAAGCGAACTCGTCTGTTGTGTAAAGGAAAAGCTTGTGGCAAAAACTGTCCGCGAAGGTGTCCAAAGTGGGGATCCGCAAAGTGTCTTCCAGCGCACTTGCCAAATTTGCTCCCGTCTGTCGATCCAAGACCTGTAGTGGTGCAGGTACAGAACCTGAAATGAGAAGATGTTTGCCAGACTCTTTTGACTTCAGCAATGCCGCGACGTTGAACTCAGTCTGCAAAATCTTTGCAAGCTGCTTCCGGGCGGGCTTAGCTGGCTTCCGCCCGGATTGCTGGGACGACAAAACCACCGAAGAAGACAGGTTGGAAATTGTGGCAGAAGAGCTGTTCAAATCCTGCACTGCAATGCGACTGGGAGTCTCATCAAACCTCAACTTTGCTACAAACAGAACCCCATCGTGGGACTTTCCCAACTTCTCTCTTATCTTGGCGAACATGTTGCCCCACAATTTGCACGACAGATTCTGAAATGCGGCTGCAGAGTAGCCCAATGACCTACTGAACGAGCGCTCATCAACTTTCAAAAATTCGCTATCTCTGGCGATGGAGCAATAGCCTCGATATGGTTGAAAAACATGAGCCATTGTTCTCTGAATTTGCTCTACCTCACTCGAATTGTCCTCTGCCTGTGGCTTGTTGATTTCCGGAGCAGCCTGAGGAGCGCTGTCTTTGCCAAAGAGCAAGCGGCTTGCAAAACTACGCATGAATCCAATATCAGGAATGTGATCTGCCTGAGCGGCATCTCCACGCACCATTGACATGCCAGCAGCTGCGGCCTGAACACATTGCTGCGCCAACCATGTTCCAAGACCTGGGACAGCATCAGACATGACATGGCCGCTTGGTCTGCTTTGGGCAGTGGCTGAGGATGAAGCTCGCGTAGCAGCATCGTGCAGATTTCTGCGCGCTGCTTTGGCCTCCCTGGCTTTAGCTAGAATCTCCTCGCGGGAAAGCGAAGGCCGTGGAACCACCATCGACTCTCTTGACTGCTTCAGTTCCCTGCGAAATGCATGGCTGCCATAAATACCACGCGGTCTGCCACGACCACGTTTCTCTTTCACCTCACCTTGCACAACTTGTTGGATTGGAACAGGCTCTCTGGCTTCTTGGGAGTCCTCTGCCTCTGCAACTGACGCCCACCCAACTTCCACGCCATCCCCAGCATCAACTAAGCTATCCCAACCAACGCCACTGTCGTCATCACTCGTGTTTGTTTCAGTGTCCATGACATGGCTACGCACGCATTGGCTTCGACCAATGTCTTTGGAATCAAAAGAAAGTGAAATTGTTTAAGGACCTAAAATGATATTAAATCATTTTGTTGCTTTTGCTTGAAGCCACTCAAGTTCATTGTGTGTTTGTAGTCAGCTGCTGGCGCTATATGCTTGCTACCTGTTGTTGGGAAAGAAAACCAAAATCTAATAAAATTGCGCTGGCAAGTGAGGTCACCTTCAAAAAACACAGCCAAGAAGAAAGGAAAAACGTATCAGAAAAACGCACGGTCCCCACCAGCCACCTCTAGCATCATAGTAATCTAAGATAGCTGCTATTCAGCTATTCAAAATTATACCAAGTTACTATCGTATACTCAAACACGCACAGAGCTGCCCATGGTGCTACATGCCAGTTGCAACATAGACCCGGGCTTTGGGCCGAGGTGGGCCAATCGGCAAGTTGGTTCTCCTGTGAAGCGGGAACAGCCGGGAACAACTGACTTTCCTGAAAGGCAAGGCAACCGTTCATTTTGCCTTACTCACCTGAACAAGCTGTTGGACCCAGCGATGAAAGAAATCTGGAAAATTCTAATTAGTCTAAGTCTAGAAAAGGTCCAGGTTTGTGATCATTGGGGAATCCTGGGGCTAAGCGGCCACAGGATTTCATCAGACCATTGACCCCTCCATTCATGTTCTGAGCGACCTGCTTCCTCAAAACTTCCGCCCACAAGCTCCCACCAAGCCCAACAATCCCAAGAATATCGAATCTCGACTCGACCAAAATCAAATCAAAATCGGAAAAGGTCTTGCCTGGGCCTGCTCACGTTGATCCACAAAGCGGCGTCCATGCGAACGGGCTGCACATAGTACCCACCCTTCTGGAAGCGAGTTCCAGCAATCATCTCCATCAAACTGCAGGGCGTCTAGAGACAAGGGCCCTCTCTAGTGAAAATTTGAGGCCTTGGCTTGCAATGTATGGGCGGGTAAGGCTTAAGGTTTAAGGTCCTTCAACCGCAACCAAGAAAAAAGATGTCTTCTTTGCACTGCTTAGGCTTAGAATCTTAGAAAAACAAAACTACCTAACTACCCTCAGCCCCACATGCACTTACCAGGCTTACCACTTACCGTGTCCCTGATTTAGAAAAATTTTGGTCACTTTGGTCTTTCATGCCGGACCTCTGCAAGGGTGTCCGGCGATCAATCGTTGATTCAGGTGTATCAATGCCCGCCACCTGCTCCAACACTGCGGTCCGTGGTTCGAAGGTCTTGAGAAACTGGATCAGGTCCCGGAACGTCGTCAAATACTTCCCATGCCCCTTTACGCTGCCTGCCTGGCTGCGCTTCACACGCTGCCTGCTGAATGGTTGGCATGGTGTGCCAAGCATGCCGAGGTCAATATCCTCATGCCCATTGCATGAGCAACAACCATCATGGATCTTGCACCCGAAGCAATTGCCACCATGGATTTTGCAAGCCAAGCCCTCCACTTGGTCCTCTAAGGTATTGAAAAAGTGCTTCACGCTCGCTGGAAAGTTCTGTGTGATCATCTCAAAGCTGGAGGCCTTTGGATCGGAGCAGCTGATGATCTCGGTCTTGAAGCCAAGGATCTGCAGGGCACAAGACTGAATTCAAACTGAAACCAAACAACAGCACGGTCATAGAACTGTAGGGCCTGTAGGGTCGGGTGTAGCGGGAGGAGCTTCCCTGTTGGCCCCCACGTATCCATTGAGTCTATTATATAGTTTAATATAAGTGAAACAAAGAAACGATGTGAAACCATCCGATACGCCCTCTGGCAAGCTTCAACACCTGGGCGTGAAAGGAAAGTTTTCCTGGCTGATTGATAGTAAGTAAGTATTAAATCCAAAGGCGATAACTTTCCACGTGGGTTGGGGCTCCGTTTCGGGGGCGAAGGTATCTGTTTTGGGGGCTCCGTTTTTGGTACGCTACATACATGGCAATCTAATTAGTAGTGGATCCTTCGCCCCCGAAACGGAGCCCCAAACCAAGTGGAAAATTGACATCCAAAGGGCGGGTAGATCTAAAAAATTGAAAACCCTTCGGCCCATTTTTGAACATCTGAACGTGTCCAAAACGCACTCGCAATTCAAAGTAGTGGTGGGCACGAAATATGTGCGTAGCAACCGCAACCAACCCTTTGAGTCTTGGAGCCCTTAGCATCCAATTCGCGGCCCCTACGATGAGGCTGGATCTCACAGGACAATAGAAACATTGGACACGCAACATCCTTTGATTATGATTAGTTGCTTAGTTGTAAGCTGGTGACTGCCCCCGCAAGATTTACCAGGCCATATTATAGGCAATTGCCATTGGACAAACCCGTGGTCTTCAAAATGTGACATACATTTTCTCACCAGACTCGCCTGGAGAACCCAACCCTCAGCCAGCGTTCCTGAGCAACCAGAGACCAGTGAAATAGGTCTCTGCATATCGTTGACGCAAGGGCCCTCCAAGGATTCCATGATCTGATAAAAGGCGGTGACCCAGTACGGGTCGTCGGGAGGAATGGTCGCCTCCCTGTCGGCCACGCTTTGCCGCAATCTCTCGAAGCGCTCGACCCTGTCACGGGCATCCTCAAAGGACTCGGACGCCTGCTGGCACTGGTTTTCAGCATCTGGATCTGTGGTCGCCTCAGAAACGGACTCTTGGTTCTCTTCATCTGCGGATTCGATCTTCTCAATCAACTTGAGAACACTGGAAACATCCTCACCAGCCACATCGTCCCAACCGTTGGGATCTTGAGAATCTTCCATCATCTCCCTCGACAAAGTTTCGGAATTCTTCTCCACATCAATTGGTTCTGTCGCGATGGCCATGGCCATGGTAAAGCTAGTTGGAGTTGGCGTCACTCCACGAACAAGTCAGACAGGAAAATCACATGACATAACATCACAACATGTAGAATCTAGAATGTTAGGCCCTAACCAATGTGCGTGTGACATTAGCTGCAGCTACATTGCTACATCTTACAATCTATGGCTGCGCTTGAGTGAGTAGACTCCCTTCAGTCTGGTGATGGTTTTGTCCGGTTTGTCATTGTTTTTTCCAGCCAATGTGGCAACAGTGGCTTCTCTTGTCGCAAGAGCACCCTACCACATCGAATTCCTCAAGCGGCCGGAGTCGAGACCCTCAAAGAGGTGACTGTTTGTTTGTTTGTTTGGACACTGGCCCCAAGAAACAACACAGTGCCCGCAAGGAGCTGCAACGCAACGCAAACTCAGCGAGAACAAATCGTATCCAAAAACAAAAAGAATGCAATCACGAAAGGGCTAGGCCTAGGCTAGGCTAGAGCGACTAGACGCCAGCGATAGTGACTAGTGACTAGAATCCTAGAATAGAGTCTAGAATTGGAACGTCTTCTCAACTCAACTGTTTCCGCCGCTAAGAAGAACAAAGTCCCAATCAGTGCTCTGCAGAACACAACAAACGGTGCGCTCCTCGGAATTGTTTCAAGCTACTCAGTAACTCTACTCTACTTTAGTAAATCTTTTTGCTGTGGTTTCCCGTCCAAAAACATGCCCAAAACGCTCCAAGTCCTTGACCCCACAGGCCATTTTGTGCAATTGCATCTGCTTAGTATAGTGATAGTGACTAGTGACAGCTGTTTTCGCATCAACAACCAAGTAGGCAAGTCTGAATCTAAGTGTAAGTGTGAGTAACAGGACACCTAAGACCTAGGACCTAGGACCTAGGAGGACCTGGGCTTACACAAGTTCAACTGAGTATCTATATCAGCAAAATGAACTATAACTATGCCTACCCATACATCATGGAACCGAACGTCTCAGCACACGGTTTGGTGTTTCGTCTTCAGCCGTCACATGGTTTTGTTGTCCTCCCAGATGGGTCTTAGAGTCATAGTCATAGTCTTCTAGATTCTAGTTACTAGTTTATTAGTCTTACTTAGTTATAGTTTGCGTTTGTTCTTAAGCCTTAAGCCTCTCTCAACAACTTGACTTTGAACGCTGAGCAGCCTGGACAGTTTCCCGGCTTGGTTTGAACTCAGTGACATCCGCTTCTATGAATGTCAACCTACTCCGTGTCTGAATCTAAGCCTCAAAAAGCCTTCAGCCTTAGACTTAAAACAAAAACTAGATTATTTTCAATTGGCTTTGGTATGTTTGCGACCGTCGCCGTAGCTTCTATTCTATCGGGTATCGGTTTTCGGATATCGGTATCGGTATCGGATATCGATATTGGAATCGGATATCGGATTTCGGTTGGTTGAGCGGCTTTGCGAAGCGGCTTGGCGGCTGAGCGGCAGTTCCGGGGTACCGTTCCTCATACTGACTGATGATAACAGTTGCTGTTGGCTGAGTGGGAGGCTAGGCCGGCTAGCGGCTAGCGGCCAGGGGCGCCTAGCAGCAAGGTCCCAGGTCCTAGCAGGTCCTAGCATCTGGCAGGCGGCTCCTGGTAGCGGTAGCCGGTACCGGTACCGGTAGCGTCACTGCAACAAACGTTGGCAATGCCTGTGTCCATCAGAGCAAGCAACAAGTTGCAGCAAGTTCAACAAGATTTTACGTTCTGCTTTTGGATCTGTAGGCTGTCCACTTGAAGATTCTGTCTGAGACTATCGACTGTGACTACTCTGGTTGGTAGTGCGCTGCTAGTGCTGCTAGCTGCTAGTGGCTAGTGAACTATTGACTAGTGACTGGTGACTAGTGATAGTGTGGTATTGAGGCCGGCTTTGCTCCGCTTAGCAGTTCTGAGAAGTTCTGAGTTCTGCTTTGTGGCCAGTTTGCGCAGCATTCAAGTTATCCAGCTTCAATGCATCAGGCACTGGTCGATCTAAGGCTACGGCTACTGATACTGACTATGACATTTATTCCTACTACTGACTATACTGAGACTACTGAATCTAGCTCAGTTACTGGGAGCCGTAGTTGCTGTAGTTAAGTGTGTAGTGTAAGTGTAGGACCTGTAGGAAGCGTGAGCGAAGTTTTCCAACTTGTTGCTATCTTTACAACAAATCTCAGTAACAGTTTCCAAGTGACCATGTCTGACACATCGATTACGACCTGACTATGACTATGACTAAGACTTAAGACCTAAGAACTCCGGCCAGTCATGTCGATAATGAAGCAAGTTTGTTGAATGGGGTGTAAAATTCCAAGTATATAACTAATATAACTATTGCAGCGCGCGCTTACAATCTACGTGTGTGACCTGATACCGACCGACCTATTAGCCTGTGTATAGTGTGCCCTATAGTTAGTCTCCCCCACAAGAACTAGTCTACTGACTAGTGACTAGTCAAGTCTAGTCACTAGTCTAGTGACTTGACTAGTGACTAGTGACTAGTGACTTGACTGGTGACTAGTGACTAGTGTAAGTGTCTATGTCGTAATAGTACTAGTTACTAGTTACTATGTTACTATGTCACTATGTCACTATGTCCTAGGTCCTAGGTCCTATGTTTTGCTGCGGTTAGCACCCTTCACTTGTCGGCAAAGTGGCAAAGTCGACATTTTTTTACAATTTTATCGTTATTGTTGGCCCAGGAAGAGGGGTGAGCCATGAACCAACTACGAGAAGCAAACGCAACAGCCATAGCTACACCATATAGCAATATAGGCCGTAGGCATGGGCCCACAGGCTTGTCAATCTGCTAGCTAGCGAGGCAAACAAGAAGCCACTTAGGGCCTAGGGCCTAGGGCTGACAAACACATAGGAGAGGGTATATATGGGGATAGGCCTTAAATGCATGGGTGGCTAGTTAGAGGTTCCAATGTTTTTTTGTTTCCCCTAGACTCCTCCAGCTCAGCAAGTAGGGCTGGGAACATTTTTATTGTAGGGTGGAAATGAACATTGTTGATTGTAGGATGGTCACACATGAGATTGTAGTTCCACATGTAATGTGTAGCGTCAATGTAGATTCTGCAGACACAAGCTAATAAATTATTTTGTGTGGGTGGCATGTCTGAATCTCTTCTTTGTCAGTTGCCAGCACATTCCACGAAAAACAATGGGAACATACAACACGCTCCCCTTTCTGTTGCAAGTTTTGCGGGTTTGTTTGTTGATTTGGTGACAACACCTAGAATCCCCATAAGAGAGCTCACCAAAATGTAACATTTTCCTTTGAATGCACTCTTTACATTTTTCAACATACACTTTCATAAAAACACAATGTGAATTAAGCAAGTCACATTTTTCAAGGTGCCTGTTATAAAAATCGCATTTCAGGGTCGCATTTTTATCGTATTTTTATCATATTTTTAATTCATGTAGAGGCCTATAGACTGTGGCTAACTTGTTGGTTTCAAGGCTAAGGGAGGGCTTGAAGGGGGGGCTTAAGGGGAGGCTTAAGGGGGTGCTGAAGGGGGGGGTAGGGGGGGGTGAAGGGGGAGGGACCTTCGGCTTAAGGGGGGGCTTAAGCCCCCCTTCGCCGAAGGTCCCGGGCCCAGCCTCGTGCCTCTCTCTCTTTTTTTGGAACAGAGAGTACCACAATGGCACTCCTTGAATGCTAAGGGGTGCAATGGTGACCTCCCTTCTGGGGGAATGGCATCACTTTTCGCCAGCAAACCCCTTTCGTTGTCTCTGCCTCCACTGTCTGACGCCTCTCGTCTCTGTCGTGCAATCAGTTGAAAGGGTTGTGCAACGAGATGGGCCTTTTCCACGGCTGAGCAGCAACTGATTCCCCTGGACAAGGATCAGACTGGCTGACAACAAACAATGCAGGTCTTGCAAAGCATCCGATCATCGCTTTCGCCACTCGATGCAGTGGCCCTCTTGGTCACAGCTTGGTGGGTGGGGTGAGGCCCCTTTGATAGGCTCCGCTGCACTCCGCTCTTGCGCTGACCATGCCGACTGACTTTCGAAGTGAATTCAGGCCCATAGTTAGTCAACAGTCAGCTTTTGCCTTTTTCATTTGTCTCACCCTCGCACAGAGGAAACACTTTCAGATGAGGGGGATTCGGCCTCTGGCCTTTTGGTTGTGTTTGGAGTTCTTGTTTGGTTGGTTTTTGTTTGGGCTTTTGGGGTTGCTTGTGTTCTTTTCCCCCTCATCATGTTGTGTTTCCTTCCCCTTCAATGATGACCTGCACACTCCACACGGCGTCCGCACTCGTGGAAAAAAAAGGAAGAAGACAGCTTACTCGACTGTACCTCACCACACTGGCGGGAACGGTGATACAGCCACAGGTCCCTGTCAGCATCTACCACACGTGGGAAATGTTGGAGGAATACCTAGTTGAGCACCTGCCGTGCATTAGCAGCTTGACGATCCGCAGGGAGTGGCAATACCGGCCACCCTAGAAGCTGCATTGCTCCCCTCCAAGGGACTAGCGACGATTCAGTCCTTTGCTAAAGGAGATATCATTGCCACCTTTGTTAAGCAAGACCACCGTCTAGGGTTACTCCTCTCGCAATACCGAAAACTCCCTTTCCCTACTGCCACTGCATGTCTGGTACCCTTCTTGTGCCATTGTGGAGCCACGCATTTACGCTTGCAAGCCATGGATGATATGCCCGCAAATACAATTCTCCTGCTAGGGGAGCCGCAAGAATGGCAAGGGTGTTTAGTACAATTCGATGGTTCTGCGCACAAGAACACGCAAACTGGAGGGGCAGGAGTCAGCTTGCTACACGTCACGCCGTCCTCTACTTCTCTTGTCCAGTGGCTTTCCACCCCCTTGCTTTCCTGTCCTGACAATGTCATAGCAGAAGCACATGCCTGTCGTGCTGCAATAAATCTTGCATTTGAGTACTATGTCTCCTGTATGGCTAAGGGAATTCCTATTGACAGCGTTGTGATTCAAGGAGACATTTTGCCTATCATCAATTATCTTCAGCACAAAGGGAGAATTAAGAAACCTGCAGT